AGACTTGGTATTTACAGGTCGCCGTCCTATTGCTGCAATATTGCAGCGTTAAATAGCAAACATACAGTTCACATAGGATGTTGAATATATTGACAATCACTGGCTTGCTTGGTCCAGACTTGATGTTTACAGGTCGCCGTCTATTGCTGCAACATTGCAGCGTTAAAATAACAAACATACGGTTCACATAGGATGTTGAATATATTGACAATCACTGGCTTGCTTGGTCAGACTTGATGTTTACGGGTCGCCGTCCTATTGCTGCAACATAAATATCAAACGTTTCACATAGGATGTTGAATATATTAACAATCACTGGCTTGCTTGGTCAGACTTGGTGTTTACAGGTCGCCGTCCTATTGCTGCAATATTGCGGCGTTAAATAACAAACATACAGTTCACATAGGATGTTGAATATATTGACAATCACTGGCTTGCTTGGTCAGACTTGATATTTACAGGTCGCCGTCCTATTGCTGCAACATTGCAGCGTTAAATAACAAACATACAGTTCACATAGGATGTTGAATATATTGACAATCACTGGCTTGCTTGGTCCAGACTTGATATTTACAGGTCGCCGTCCTATTGCTGCAACATTGCAGCGTTAAATAACAAACATACAGTTCACATAGGATGTTGAATATATTGACAATCACTGGCTTGCTTGGTCCAGACTTGATATTTACAGGTCGCCGTCCTATTGCTGCAACATTGCAGCGTTAAATAACAAACATACAGTTCACATAGGATGTTGAATATATTAACAATCACTGGCTTGCTTGGTCCAGACTTGGTATTTACAGGTCGCCGTCCTATTAGCTGCAATATTGCAGCGTTAAATAACAAACATACAGTTCACATAGGATGTTGAATATATTGACAATCACTGGCTTGCTTGGTCAGACTTGATATTTACAGGTCGCCGTCCTATTGCTGCAACATTGCAGCGTTAAATAACAAACATACAGTTCACATAGGATGTTGAATATATTGACAATCACTGGCTTGCTTGGTCAGACTTGATGTTTACAGGTCGCCGTCCTATTGCTGCAACATTGCAGCGTTAAAATAACAAACATACAGTTCACATAGGATGTTGAATATATTGACAATCACTGGCTTGCTTGGTCCAGACTTGATATTTACAGGTCGCCGTCCTATTGCTGCAACATTGCAGCGTTAAATAACAAACATACAGTTCACATAGGATGTTGAATATATTGACAATCACTGGCTTGCTTGGTCCAGACTTGATATTTACAGGTCGCCGTCTATTGCTGCAACATTGCAGCGTTAAATAACAAACATACAGTTCACATAGGATGTTGAATATATTAACAATCACTGGCTTGCTTGGTCCAGACTTGGTATTTACAGGTCGCCGTCCTATTGCTGCAATATTGCAGCGTTAAATAACAAACATACAGTTCACATAGGATGTTGAATATATTGACAATCACTGGCTTGCTTGGTCCAGACTTGATATTTACAGGTCGCCGTCCTATTGCTGCAACATTGCAGCGTTAAATAACACAACATACAGTTCACATAGGATGTTGAATATATTGACAATCACTGGGCTTGCTTGGTCAGACTTGATATTTTTACAGGTCGCCGTCCTATTGCTGCAACATTGCAGCGTTAAATAACAAACATACAGTTCACATAGGATGTTGAATATATTGACAATCACTGGCTTGCTTGGTCCAGACTTGGTATTTACAGGTCGCCGTCCTATTGCTGCAACATTGCAGCGTTAAATAACAAACATACAGTTCACATAGGATGTTGAATATATTGACAATCACTGGCTTGCTTGGTCCAGACTTGATATTTACAGGTCGCCGTCCTATTGCTGCAACATTGCAGCGTTAAATAACAAACATACAGTTCACATAGGATGTTGAATATATTGACAATCACTGGCTTGCTTGGTCCAGACTTGGTATTTACAGGTCGCCGTCCTATTGCTGCAACATTGCAGCGTTAAATAACAAACATACAGTTCACATAGGATGTTGAATATATTAACAATCACTGGCTTGCTTGGTCCAGACTTGATATTTACAGGTCGCCGTCCTATTGCTGCAACATTGCAGCGTTAAATAACAAACATACAGTTCACATAGGATGTTGAATATATTGACAATCACTGGCTTGCTTGGTCCAGACTTGATATTTACACCTAACACTGACAACATTTACAAACTAATGAATTACAACATAAACAAGAATTTAAGCAATTAAAAATGAATATAATGAATACAAATCCTTATTTACAGATGGATCCAAAGATGGCGGTGCAGTGGTTTGTGCCACTGCCATTGGACCCAGAACTGTACCTTCTAGATTACTCGATTGAAGAAGCAAACGCAATACTGACAGCTCTTAAATATATTACTAGAAACCCTAAATATAAACAAATAACTTCTTTATTCTGTATTGGTATTGACAACGACATTAGAATATATGTCGAAACGTCGCCTGTATCGAATGAAGAAATTGTAGATCCATAAACATTGTCCTGATTCTTCATCTCCTCAACATCTAGAATGCCAATCAAAGAAACAAACATGCAGTGCACGTGGGATGTTGGGAATAACAACAATCACTGGCTATCTGGTTCAGACAGATTATTTTTCAGGATATTGTCCTTTAGTATTTCGAATGTGGCGTAAAACTGATGAGACCTTCAAAGACATAACTATAGACAAGTGGCAACATCTATAACACTATAACAAAAATATCGTCGGCTTGTGACCTTCAGCAAGAAAAGTAAATCACCTTCAACATAGCATGTTCTTTTCCAGGCGTTGCAGATGATTTGGAACAAGGACGTGTTGGTCTCAAGATTAGCTTATTACTGCTGTAATTGAGTACTTAATGTAACGAATATAAGCTGTGTCGTCAACATGTGATATATACGTGTAGGTGACGACTAGCCTCAGCAAAAAAGCCATTCACATGAGGTGTGAGCATGAGTGGTTGTCTTCGAAAGAAATGACCTATGTATCAGTGTCACCGTCCCCTGTGTCACCATCCCCTATTTCAGTGTCACCATTTCCAACGTCACTATCCACTACTTCAGTGTCACCATCCCCTACTACAGTGTCACCATCCTTTACTTCAGTGTCACCATTCCCTGCTTCAGTGTCACATCCCTACTTCAGTGTCACCATCCCCTACTTCAGTGTCACCATCCCCTGCTTCAGTGTCACATCCCTACTTCAGTGTCCCGATGCCCTGTTTCAGTGTCATCATCCCCTACTTCAGTGTCACCATCCCCTACTTCAGTGTCATCATCCCTTACTTCAGGGTCACCATCCCCTGCTTCAGTGTCACCATCCCCTGCTTCAATGTCACCACCCCGTGCTTCATTGTCCCGATTCCCTGTTTCAGTGTCACCATCCCCTACTTCAGTGTCACCATCCCCTGCTTCAGTGTCACATCCCTACTTCAGTGTCCCGATGCCCTGTTTCAGTGTCATCATCCCCTACTTCAGTGTCACCATTCCCTGCTTCAGTGTCACATCCCTACTTCAGTGTCACCATCCCCTACTTCAGCGTCACCATCCCCTGCTTCAGTGTCACATCCCTACTTCAGTGTCCCGATGCCCTGTTTCAGTGTCATCATCCCCTACTTCAGTGTCACCTTCCCCTACTTCAGTGTCACCATCCCCTACTTCAGTGTCACCATCCCCTGCTTCAGTGTCACATCCCTACTTCAGTGTCCCGATGCCCTGTTTCAGTGTCATCATCCCCTACTTCAGTGTCACCATCCCCTACTTCAGTGTCATCATCCCTTACTTCAGTGTCACCATCCCCTGCTTCAGTGTCACCATCCCCTACTTCAGTGTCACCATCCCCTACTTCAGTGTCCCGATTCCCTATTTCAGTGTCACCATGCCCTACTTCAGTGTCACCACCCCGTGCTTCATTGTCCCGATTCCCTGTTTCAGTGTCACCTTCCCCTACTTCAGTGTCACCATCCCCTACTTCAGTGTCACCATCCCCTACTTCAGTGTCACCATCCCCTGCTTCAGTGTCCCGATTCCCTATTTCAGTGTCACCATGCCCTACTTCAGTGTCACCATCCCCTGCTTCAGTGTCACCATCCCCTGCTTCAGTGTCACCAGCCCGGGCTTCATTGTCCCGATTCCCTGTTTCAGTTTCACCTTCCCCTACTTCAGTGCCATCATCTCCTACTTCAGCGTCACCATCCCCTGCTTCAGTGTCACCACCCCGTGCTTCAGTGTTACCATTCCATGTTTCAGTGTCATCATCCCCTACTTCAGTGTCACCATCCCCTGCTTCAGTGTCACATCCCTACTTCAGTGTCCCGATGCCCTGTTTCAGTGTCATCATCCCCTACTTCAGTGTCACCATCCCCTACTTCAGTGTCATCATCCCTTACTTCAGTGTCACCATCCCCTGCTTCAGTGTCACCATCCCTACTTCAGTGTCACCATCCCCTACTTCAGTGTCCCGATTCCCTATTTCAGTGTCACCATGCCCTACTTCAGTGTCACCACCCCGTGCTTCATTGTCCCGATTCCCTGTTTCAGTGTCACCTTCCCCTACTTCAGTGTCACCATCCCCTACTTCAGTGTCACCATCCCCTACTTCAGTGTCACCATCCCCTGCTTCATTGTCCCGATTCCCTATTTCAGTGTCACCATGCCCTACTTCAGTGTCACCATCCCCTGCTTCAGTGTCATCATCCCCTACTTCAGTGTCACCAACCCGTGCTTCATTGTCCCGATTCCCTGTTTCAGTGTCACCTTCCCCTACTTCAGTGTCACCATCCCCTACTTCAGTGTCACCATCCCCTGCTTCAGTGTCACATCCCTACTTCAGTGTCCCGATGCCCTGTTTCAGTGTCATCATCCCCTACTTCAGTGTCACCATCCCCTACTTCAGTGTCACATCCCTACTTCAGTGTCCCGATGCCCTGTTTCAGTGTCATCATCCCCTACTTTAGTGTCACCACCCCTGCTTTAGTGTCACCATCCCCTGCTTCAATGTCACCACCCCGTGCTTCAGTGTTACCATCCCCTGCTTCAGTGTCACCATCCCCTACTTCAGTGTCACCATCCCCTACTTTAGTGTCACCACCCCTGCTTCAGTGTCCCGATTCCCTGTTTCAGTGTCACCGTCCCCTACTTTAGTGTCATTATCCCGCGCTTCTAGGTTTTGTATTCACTGGAAGAAGTCGATGTTGAATAAGTGTCCTCAGTTGGTGATATATATGTAGAAACTGCTCTTAGGTCAGCAAGAGGAACGTCCCGCGTGAGGTGTGTGTAGGAGTCGGAGACTGAACTGGCTGTTGTACCATCTGGGACATCATAGTCGAATTTCTCGGCTCCAATGTCACCATCGCCTGTTTCAATGTCACCATTGCCTGTTTCAATGTCACCATTGCCTGTTTCAATTACACCATTGCCTGTTTCAATGTTGCCATCTCCCGGAAGGTAATCTGCTAACACAGGCAGTGAGTCATCACGGACATCGCTTGTGCTGCCTTGGTTCTGATTCGGTAACCCGTCGTCAAGGTCTGTTTCATCTTCTCTTATTTCCCAATATTTGTGCAATTCCAGGTAGTGCATGTAACTGGGGTCTACTTTGTTCTGAGTACCAGTTTCAGCCTGGGTTGACCTGTTTGAATAAAAAGAGATAAAACAGAACGTTATAGAAAACACATGTAACGATGATGTGTCTTGTTTGCCTGTTGTTTAATGCCTTCTTTTGGCAGTAACCCTGCTAAATGATTGTGGTTCATAGCGGCAAAGTCAAATTACATTTTCCCTAATGCTATGATGTAACACACGGAATTATACTGACCCGCAATGAAGATTTTTTTTCAGATCATTTCCAGATCATTTTGAGTTCAAATCCACTTCATGTTTCCGAAAACAGAAACATTCGTGAAAACGCATTCTTTATCATTCGTTAAAAAAAAAGGCAATCCTGATAATGCAGTACGTGCACTTCATGAGGTCTTTCCCATATATTGCACGTGTATAGAGAGGTCAGTAGCCAGTCTTAAACATCTGCAGCAACATGCACACGCTCTGAAGCCGGTACTTCACAAAATGTTGTTGCTAATGTCAACCAGTCCACCATTGGCCTTCTTGTCAGTCGTCACCAGAAGACAGGGGCCGTTGCCGACCGCCCTCGACCAGGGCGACTTCCGGTAACGACGGTCAGACAAGATCGACAGATGTGACTGCGCACCTTCGAGATCGCTTCAGAACGGCAACAACAGCAGCAGCAGTGTTGGTAGCCATGGACAGTCATTCGACGCATGAGACAGGCCGGCCCCGTCACAGCCAAGCCCGACGTCAATTCGCACAGCAGTATGCCCAAGCAACAACAACTTTTCTTCCGAAGGCTTGTCTTTTCAGACGGTATTGTGTACCTATCCGGTATTGTGTGTCATTTCTTGATGAAAGACAGCGTGTTTACAGATGTCGTGGGGAACGTTATGCAGGCCCATGTGTTAGATAGAGAAATCGATTTGGTGGTGATAGTGTAATGGTTGGGGAGCCATCAACGCACGTTTCAGGAGGTGAGGTAAGGAAAAAAATTGGGTTTAACGTCGTGCTTGAGAATATTCCGCTCATATGTCGACGTGCATGCGTGTGTATGTGTATGTGCGGCTGCTTTTACTAGCCCAGACTTAAGCTGGTTTTATAGTGCTAGCCCACTGAGATACCAGGCCGCAGTGAAACATGAATACCCCACTCAGACACATTATACTGCCTCCGAGCCGACCAGTGCTTGTTGTACCCATTAATGCCGAGCGCCAGGCAGGGACCAACAAGTACCATATTTTAAGGTCTTTTGGTATGACGGGGATCGAACCCGCGACCTTCCGCTTATACGTTTCAGGAGTGATCCGCTTGTCATCCAAGGTAATCTGACTGCACAGCGTTATGTGGATGAAGTTCTGAGCCCGCAGTGCTTCCTTTGCTGCGCCGTCACCAACGCCCCTCGACATCCACTAACATTCCAACATGACAACGCCCGTCCTCATGCCGCCAGGGTGACACAAACATTCATTCAGCAAGATGGAATTAATGTAAAGGACCGGCCAGCGTATTCACCAGACCTCAGGGTTTATCGACGTTAGCCACCGCCAGCCAACGACGCAGATCTCACAATGTCCTTGCAGCAAGAATGGAACCATAATCATTGCTTATTACCCATGTCATACACTGAAAATGATTTTTTGTCACTTTATTCTACATCAAAATCACTTATGCGTTTTCATTGCGGGTCAGTATATATAAATTGAAATCTGTCATTTCAAATCCGAAAGATGTCCATAAGCGTTTGAACAGCAATGACGATCGACAAACAGTCGGATAGTATATTGATTTATCCGTCTCCTTTAAGTTCTAAAATCAACATGTCCCGAATCTGTCCGCGTTGTGGCCGTTCTTTTCATAGGTACATACCGAAAAACAAGAGACTTTCCCGAAAACCCGAATTTTAGACCATGTGGCCAGGATACATGAAACATTTCATCTGCTCACAAATCCATGTTTGCAACACCACAAAGCTAACTTTACAAACATAATAAATAAATACATGAGATCCGATTGCGGTTACACGAGCTTAACACCTATCACATTAACATTCCAGTTCTTAAAGGACATTCTGTAAATTACTGATTCAGTATTAGACATTCCATTACTGACGTAGTGAGCATTGGCATACACAGTTGGGATAGAATGATATGCACAGCCGACTCAGTGAATCCTCCACACGGAAGTCGTCTTATAGCATGGGTTGTTGACGACCAGTCTTAACCCAGATATTCTTTGGGGCATTGCTTTAGACCTACCTATGTGCATCAAGGCCAACTCATGACATAATATAGCAACACTGTACTGTCTTAAGACTATATATAGTGTAATTCTAATTAACATAAAATATACACAAGTACCTGATATCTCATGTTTGCAAAAGAAATATACAGGACGTTATAGAAACAAGAGGTTTTTAATTGTTATAAAAGCTAAGCACACTTCTTAGGTGGAAAGAGATACTTGCAAACCTGGCAATGTATTTATGTCATGTACACTAAAACAAAATGTCCTGATGAATTTACTGACTGTTATAGCTTGACAGAGCCAGTCTAATTTTGTATCGTAAACCATGATATTTGTAAATTGGTTTCATTCATGAGTGCCAGGACTTTTAAGATATTGTGCAACGAAGGGGGGCTTGGTTTAGTTCTCATTTCCATTTGTATCTGCTCTCTTAGCAAACAATCTGTCACTAGTGTCAGGGCACATCACCATGAACAGTTTAGTGTAGATTCCAGTAAATCCCTCTTGCTTTCATAGAATAACGTTCACAGGTTACTAATGCAGGCTTGCATGAACTGCACCTTTCGATATCTACCAAGCAGGACATATGTCAGCCCCCCTTAGTATTCCAAATGTATCATACATCGGCAGGATCACTACATATGCTTTAGGTATAGCCAACCTTTTTGTAGTTCAAAGCATTTCATATTACAAATGACAGCATTGGTATTTTCGCATTCATTAAATAACAAAGAACACAGAGGGCATACAATGACATGTTAAATAGGTTCACCCATTTCTGGACTACATCCATATGGATAGGTACAGTCCTTACATGTACCTGGAGTTACCACTGACAACACTCAGACGCACAGCAAGTAACATAAGAAAACACATCACACGTCAGTGGAAACATACGGCACTAAGGCAACGCAAAATACCTCGACTCAAAATTAGCAAGATATGACTATATTATAGTTTACATTAAGCATAGGCAGAATAATATCAAACAGCTATGAACGTTAGCATAATTCATTCTTAACATTGGTCAATACCATCTAGTATCCCCCCAAAATATGGAGCAAGCTGGAACTAACATTTTCTCCTGTGATGTCACGTGTAGTTCAGAATGGCAAGTGGTTGAGGAAATGTGCAAAGAATCACAAAGTGAGCCTGATTACTCAATCAGTAAGAACAAAAGTTAGTCATCTGATGAAACGAATCTCATCGAGAATGATAGTGATAGTGATAGTCACTAGGCCAAAGCAGAGGTATATTATTGCTACAAGGAGTTGGAACATCGTACACGTTATAAATGAGCACAAAGGACTTGAATGTCAACACACTTGACCTTACAACTAAGCCACAACATATCCATAAGAGATTACTGTAAAGATTTGTTTTAATACAGTTATTTTTTTTTTGTACAAACGCCCATTACTTGGTGGCGAAATAAACTGTAATGAGCAACACTTTCCTTTACATGTTTGAATTCATAACGCTACAAAATCACTCTCTTACAAATGCATTCCAGCAATACGCATCCCACATTGAGTCTGTGGCAATGAACTAATGTGGGCCTTAAAAGTAAGCGCTTTACTTTCGAGGAGAAGGTGCAAAGGAAGTTTCAATTGGAAAGATGTCTTCAGAGGCCTTCGTGTAATGAACTCATTGTAAGTGACCTGTTGACAGCAGCTTCGACGTTGCTAGCAATGTTCTGGGGAAAAGATTGTATAGAATGTACTTCGTAAACGTTATGTAAACGTTACATCACGTTGCTGTCAAAAGGTACAGAAAATTCAAGGAAACAAATAAATTCGTTAGGTTTATCAAAACTGACAAGATCAGGTTTGTTGGCTGGTCTGAGGCAGTATATGGGCCGATTCCAAAGAATCATTGAAAAGCATCATTTTCCGTGACGCCCTGGACATGTTCAGGGTCGTGCCATGGATGGACCTTGGGGTCAAAACAACAGACATGGCGGAGACAGTAGTAGAAGCATGCTATCAGTCATTTAAGGCATTCTGTTTGTGCCAAAGAAGGGCATCCACAGTCGGCATTTCATGTCACTATTGTTTTAAGAATTACAGTTAGGCGATTGCGAGTTGGAAGTGACTAGACCTTGGCAGCAAAAAAGTTGCCCTTGTTTCATATTTTAGACCAGCCGACTACATCCAGACGAAGGAGTCGGTTGGATTGCTATTCTGTTCCACTACATGTACACACGATGCAATGGCTTCTCAGAAAGCTTCTCCACAAATGACCGATGATGGGCAGACTTGGTGAAGGATTTCAGCTGGTTTACTCCCATCACTGTACCGTCCAGCAGTACATTGCCATAAAAAAAATCAACCTCAAATTTCAGAAGTGCGTCCACATTAATCAAATTGGCATATATAAACGATTAAGAGAGGAACGAGGTTGGTGGGCTCTGTTATCAGACATGATCCTTTTGGTCAGGCAGTCAAGACTCTGGATATCTTGTTTTGTCTGATCAACTAATCCAAAGGAATAGGAGAGGACAGGCAAAGCAAAAGTATTGGATGCTTTGATCTTGTTTCGAGCATTTAACTCTGAGATTAGATGTTTATTAAGTGAAATTCTGCCCAAAGTTTTTCTTGAATTTGGACATTCTGGTGCTTGTCTCGAACTTGCATTCCAAGATAGGTGAAGGCCTGATCTTCCACAAGATGCTCAATAACTCCTCCCCATTGTAACTTGGCCGATCCATCATTAATGACCTTGCCACGTTTCAAATGAAAGAGTATTGCATTTATTGAGTCCACATGTCATGCCAATACCGTTAGAGATTGACGCTAGTTTCAAATTGGTGTCTCCTTTGGCAAAGAGCTCGATGTTGAAGATCTATGCTGAGGAGGTCCAAGATGGTTACCCTCCACTTTAGTAAGCAGACAGCTCAAATGAATTAAAGACAAACAAAAAAGCAGAGAACCATGTTGACCCACCTACCCCGTCGGCGACGTGGGCTACAGCCGCAAGTCCACGTAAAACATTAAGTGATGATGGTACTACTTCACTTCTGCTTGGCAGTTTATAACAGCTGTTACCGAAACGTGGCATTATGATACAATAAGTCTACTCTAACCTGGACGTTCATGATGTATTTTGCTCCCTGAATGCGTTCGCTGATAATTTGCCAATAAGTGGTCACAACTCTCACATCGTCCGAGCTTTCAATTCCGTATGGCGTCACACGTGGACGACAGGCTCATTCAAATCCTGAAGCTGACTATCCATAGATTTCCGTAATCTTTCCACTTCCTAAAATGCCTCTGAAAGAAGCTTTTGAAAACTATCATTTTTGCTTTAATGGATCACATGGCTGCACAACTCTAATTGTAATATATATAGAGAGAATACTACACGAGGTCTCATTACATACGAATTAAACGAAACGAGTGTCCTTCCTATGTTATATACACGGTATGATACCATAGGAAGGTCACGAGTTTCGTATAATTCGTATGTAATGAGACCGAGAGAATTCTATTTATTACCACGTCTTACCTGCGTAAAATTGACAAAATAGTGTAGTTTTGTTATTTTTATGCGTTCAAACCAAAACCGGTTATAAAGTGGTTGCAAAAGAATTTTGCAAGACGTCACCCTCGTTACCAAACGTACCCTTGGTGACCGACGTCACGGTGCATGTCAGTTGTCATCGCCTCGAGCAGCCTCCTACATGAAACAACTCCATAACACCCCGTTTCTTGGTTTGCAGCTACTTCACCCGGCTAATATCACTGGTGGAAGCATTTCGTATATAACGTTTATATTTTTCGACGGATAAATTGTCTCAGTTCGACTCAGGATTTAAAAGCGGCACGGCAACGTGTGCAATGTTTACATTCCCACAATGCATTCGTGGACTGTTGCGTGACTAGTCAGCTTCATCTGGGTGTACTGATCTAACTTAAGTTGGTAGTAGAAATACCACGGTGATATTGCCCCATGAGGTTTACGAGAAGGTGTGTGTGTGTGTGTGTGTGTGTGTGTGTGTGTGTGTGTGAAGGTGTGTGTGTGTGTGAATAGAACAGCGCGTCAGTTAGCTCTGAGCGATTATTGTACGACACAGTCGCTTTTCGGTTTTGTTTTCTGCCTTAGGTTAATCGTAATTAACCTTAGAAAGTATTAAATTTGGCATCTTAGAAAGAAATACAGTTCGCTCTACCACCACGTATAGTGTAATAAATTACCCTTATGTCCTGACCTATTAAAACGTTGGAAATATCTAACTTAATTGACGGAGTAAAAGTTGTAGAATGAATGAATTCACGTGTTTGTAATGAATAAGAAAGTAGATCCGTCACAACGTGACCTAATTGAGATGTCATCGGTTGACCAATCAAATCGTTAGATTGTAAGGTCAAGTCGTTACGGCACAGGTAAACGCTATACGACACTCGTACGAGATTAGTATGCAACTACAATACGTTGACCACGTGGGTAATAACGTGACTTATGAACATATGCTCAGGATATATTATATAAACCATTGGCTTTGCTTTCAGAAAAGATTTCTCATGATGATAGAAATGGTTTTGTTGCATTTATTGACACAGTTAGTGCGGTGTCTACTTTCTGCCCAAATGAGACCAGAGGTTACCTATTAATGAAGTCCAGCATTTCACATATTTTTTTCAACAAACTTCAAAATACAATTTTCTTTCAAATGGAACGGCTTGCTTGAACTTTGACATATTCAACAGGGAGTGGTGAATTTGGTTAATACCGTGATCTAGACCGACCACAAAGTAGTGATGTTCTGGACAAATACTTCATACAGAGAAAAGATTATCCATTACGTTCTCTAAAGGAATTAATTAACTCGAGTAAAATCTGGTCTCGTGTGTTCTCAGTGTGGACTGCGTGATCAGGCTCTGTGATATGGCTGAAATATTATTGAGAGCATTCTGCGTTCAAAACCAACTTTCGCTCACACGTATAGCAGAGAGCAAATCCTCCGACCGCAAAAACCAAAACAGTTGGGATTTACCTCCTCTTACCTGCCGTCATTGAATAGACAGCGTGTGGAACGGTTCTTGTTTCTCTGCAAATCTCACTCAGACATTTAACATCCCTCGTAAGCACAGTCTCACAGACGGCTGTAATGGACAATGCAGCTAAACCTACCTTTGTATACAGGGGCCTTTGCGGAAACAGACACAGCATACGGAACTTGCAACCAAGAAGAAAAGGACTGCTGCACACACAACCCATATCAGGGTGGTTGTGCTCATATGTGGCACCCCCGGCAGAGCTGACAAAACAAAACATACACATGAATACTAGTGTGGGGACAAGGAATCACAACGAGCCTTCCATGAAACAATCAGCATTTGATCGTGATTAAAAGCGCCAAAACCCTCTCCATCGTACACATCTAGTGATTGTGAGATCGTACATCTTATCTACAGTCAAATGTTGCATAGAAGTTTGTAGTCATTTCCAATATCGTGTCTTATTTAGGGGTATAACACATCCTCTTACAATGTTTTAGCATAACAGAACACAGGTGCATTTCCGTATTATAATTGTTTATCTCCCATTATTCTTGATTATGATCTTTTCCAGAATATTTGTGACACAAATTGTGAAAATGTCAACATTAGGATGACAGTTGGATTGTTGGTATTCATGCTTTTGTGTATTCCTTTCAGACTGCCAGTAAACAATTTTCAAATCCTGACTGGTTTTGTTCTAATCAGAGTAATATATGTTACAGATGCCCGTTTAATATACATACAATAGGATGCAGGATTCCTTAAAATAATCACACAAAATAATGTTGGTGGTGCTTCATTAATCCTCGTGTGAAATTGTGAATACTGATTATCATGAAGGTGTACAGATTCGTCTACCGCTGTAAAACATTAGATATGTTTACAAATCTATTTTCAGAGGTTTGGGAGAAAAAATAATCAAAGCAAACTTCTTCTGAAATTTTCTCCGACTTCCAGATTGATGCTGACTTGAATCTTAAAACTTGGGGTAACATTTAAACATATACACATGATGTGGAAGCTGTACAATCGACTGTGTGTTTGGTACAGATATCATATGGATGTGGGAAAGGTTTAGTCACGTTTTCATTAGAATACATATATGTGGATAAAAAAATACTCACTAGCGTTACGACTGGCTGAAGAGCATCCTGGAGTGGAGCAGGTCTGTGTACAGTTAGGCTCACTTCCTTCCTCGCTGCAATCCGTCACACAGCCACCAGTGGTCTGATCACATGTTCGGTTGGCGCAGTTCTCGGGACAAGGTTCACAGGCTGACCCGAAATGATGAAGTTCGCAGCCTTCAGCACATAAACCTGCTGCATTACATCTTTGATGACGGCATCCAGGATTACACGGAGAAGAACACCTCGGGCCGAACCAACCATCCACGCAGCCATGGAGACACGTGGCGCTGTGTTTGTGACATTCTCCTGTACAGCTGTCTGACGTCACAGCAGGAAGACACTTGTGGGCTGACTTGGGGCGGCATGTTTTACTGCAAGTCTCGGCACAGAAGTCCCCGTAGAAGCCAGGAACACATTCACAGTCAGACTCACAGGATCCTGCACAGTTCTCACACGTCTTCTCACAGTTGACTCCATAGTGTGTCGGGTCACACTCGTCACATACTCCTGTCATCCTGTTGCAGGTTCTGCAGTTACTGGGACACGTCTTGCATCCTAATCCGTACCTGGAATCTCGACATCCGGCAAAACAAGCATCACCCAGCTGACAGTACTCCCCGTTACATCCACCTGGACACAGTGTACAGTTGACCACGTGACTGTCACATGGTCTGCCACAACGTAGGCCTTGGTACCCTGGTACACAGCCATCAGAACACTTGCTTGTACCTTTACCTGGATCTAGCTGGCATGTTTTATATCTGCATGTGCTGCTGCAAACGAACTTGCATTTCATTCCAAAATAGCCTCTCTCACAACTGTGTAAGCAATTGCCCTTCTCATCGCAGTCAGAACAATGCTGTCCCTCAATACATTCCGCACCTGTCAAGTAAAATACAAATGGTAGTGCTATGAAACGTATAACGTATAACTAAAACTACCAAGGCCGCTGGACATACATTTATCATCTCCTTTGGCAAATACAGTGCCACAGTATAACTGCACACCAACAGTAAACATAAAATTGCCCCAAAACGAAACTGTGCACATAGGAAATCTACATGCGTACGCCAAGAAAAAAAAATGTAAACACTATAATTAGTGAATTTAATTAAATATGCTTGTGCTATTTCACGACGTAAGTGGCGTCAGCACGAGCCACGTGCAACACGTTTGAGCATGTGCATTGCCATAAACTGTCAATTTGAAAGCCCAATTGTTTGACGTGTGATTAAAAAATTAACAGAATAGAAATAGCGAATGAGCCACACATCACAACTAACGGCTACACACTTATTACTACATCCTGAAAAATTATAATAAATAATTGGACTTTTCGTAAATTCCACCAACGTTGTCTGATGCATGTGGCATCACCCATCAGATATATAATGGACATCAATTTGAATATAGTCGGCCGCGGAAAGCTTTCTAATATAGTACTACCAGACTGACCTTTGACATCAACATCGTATGTCAGAGATACTCACAACGGATATGTTGAAGGTACACCAGATGTACAGACAACATACGGATCACGCGGACCAGCCGCGTCATCAAGTGAAACTACTGCTGTGTTCAGATCAGGACGGAGCGGCTGACGGACGGACAGATAGGATGGGCTTTACACCCATAGAGAAATGATCACTTTGAATAATGTTTCATAGCCTAACATATTCACATGGGCAACTTTTCCTTCGTCTTTCTTACCTTGTGTAGAATCAGCCAGACAGATCAGCATGATGATGAACAACAATGACATCATTGCCTGAAAACGAAATATACAGTGACACTCTATACACACATAAATATAATATATACTAATTGAGACAAGACATCGAACCATTGCAAACTTGAAATATTTAACACCAAGAAGATGTAGAGCCAAAAGCGCAATACAGCTGGTAAAAGCAGCTCCCCGCAGTATCAAAATAAAATGCACTTACTCTGAAACTCTTGGCCCGGTGTGTAGTCCACGATCCCCGCTTCGTGTATGTCGCCTGATCGTTGCTTCAATAACTTTATAAACTGATTCATGTTTTCATGTTTTCCGTTTTGTCTTCCTGCTGTTGGTGACTAGGTCGGCGTGTGTAAAGCTGGTAACCTCATTGGAGGGTTGTTCCAGACAGACAGCAACTGGCAGCTAAAGGGCACGTTTACTCGAGAATACACCCTTTTGTTTTGCGGTGTTTCAACACAGAAAGTATTTAGCCAGTAGTTGCATAGCTACAGCTGTAGTTATAACAAGTAACCCAGTTATTTTCTGTCTTATATCGATTCATATTTTGCATGTTGACTGAGTGTTTTATGTTCGCAATAAACACACCATGACTTATGTCCCTTGCAATATGACGTCATTGGTGCCAATCGATAAACCAATGACGTCGTTGGAACTTCTCAGACCCTTTTCCCGTGGCGTAAGGGTGTGTGGTTCTTGTGACTGGAATCGCAGCCTACTGTTTTAACCATCATTTTGCACGGCGCCTGTCAGCTTCGCGTTCCGCTCTGGTCCGTACTGTGATGACGTCGGGGTTTCAAACACGTATACATTGTTACAAATCTGTTCTCTCTGCCTACAGTCTACTAAAATTGTCTAACATTAACCTTCAGTGGATTGCCCTTCAGAAAGTCCTTTAACAAATAAAAAAACCCACCCATGCATAAAATGAATTTGCTTTTATTCTAGGATTACTATACATCAATCGTGAAATAAATGCCCATCCTCTTCAACCCTGACTTTGATGTGCAAAATATTCCATGTTCTATGGTATCATATCCACTTGTTGATGGTAGGGCTAGATTGCTGAAAACTCCATACATTGTAAAGCTAACTATTGTTTGAAGAAAGCTAAGAATGCTTTGGAACCTTCGCAAATGAACTTGTTTATGAAATCACGTCACACGTATGTCGGTTATGTTACATCATGTCTAATTTAAGCCCAGGTTCCTCACTTAAAGAGAACTAGTGACGTCTCTCTATCGTTCAGTTGGGTTCTTCTTTCGCAGGGTAAACTTCTGCAGTTAGTTCACCGGGCATTCTCCAGGAATGCCCTGAGCTTTCCTGAGGAATAGCCAATAACCTTGAATTATTTTCCATGTACACGTTTTGAACATTGATATTACTTTGTCTTGCTACTGAATATCACAATATTGAACATTTCCAACATATTGTGTCGACGCCTGGTTTGGAACCTGCAACCCTTCTCTTACCAGCTTGGCGATTTTATCCACTAAGCTACGAAAGATCGCTGTGAGGAATATTATTGCTTGGCAGTATGAACCATGTGTTCCTCACAAGATGGGTAGTGCGTAGAGCTCACGAACAGGACACGGGTATGATATCTTGTGACTTTTAACTATGACAGTTATTGTTACAAATTTGTAATACGCTGTTGCAACATCTGCAAGAAAAGTACTACAGAGCTGATCCGATACATCTGAAGAAACGTGCTGAAAATGCATCACAGGCAGGAACATCACATCATTATGGTTTGCTAGATTATGCTCATCATCACCTCAGGGCCCCAAAACCTCTACACACAGTGCATATAGTGAATGGGACTTCACAAAGAAAGCTCCTTGGGTAACTCCACCGGTAGCATTTCGGAGAATCTCCTCAACATGACAGTCTTTTACATAACCAAGATTCCCACTGTCATTCTACAGATTGGGAGGCGTCATATCTAAAGCAATGGGAAGTCGGACAAATTGGCATTTGTGATTCATGTGGGGCATATTGAAAAGGGAAGGTCGGCATACCTGTAACGCTTGTCAACCACATTAGTGTGCCAAAGAACAGAGAATTAGATGACGTGAATAATTTCACGACGTTCATGAAAATAGACAAGGTCAGGAGTTTTCGCCTCGGTACTTCTGAGGTTGTACACGGGCATATTCTGAACATTTCATGCTTATTATTATCCATGACACACTCTACTACATATTCAAGGTCGTACCATGGATGGAGCCCAATCGGTAGTCACAGACGCTCTTTGAAATCTTGCTGAAACGAGAATGCTCAATTTGATCTAAACATTGCTTAAGGACATCACTCGACATACAGAGAAACGAGTCAACTGGAAAATTTAAGTTATCCCGCCATTCAGACAGACAATCATCAGACAAAATGTTATGCGCAAATATGCTCTCTACAATTCAGTCATGAACAGTCTTCACTTTAATCAAACCATGCTCTCCCATAATAAGTCTTAAATGTAAGCGATTGAGGGTCATGGTTCTTTGTGCGAGGAGGTCCGTTTCTTGATTCGTCTGATCAACACCAAACAAATAAGAAAGGATGATTACAGGGTAAATGTTTGTTCAGTCCAAACGTTGCCCTCATAAACATTCTCGAGATTGTCTCTAGCAGGCATCCCTACTGACGTATACGCCTGATCTTCCAGCAAGAAGAATGCCCCATTTGCAAAAAGGACCCGACAGTCCCCCTTAGCAATAGGTTCAAGGTCATTTATGTAAAGGAGGTGAGTAAGATGCGATGGAGGTGAAAGAGCATATACCTCGTCTTTGTTAAACCTAAAACACTGAAGATTTAGTGAGAGACAGAAAAACAGAAGACTAAAAGATTCGCTCTGAATTATTCCTATTTAAATGTACTATGGTTCTGAAGTCACCGGCCCTTGCGAGTACGTTTCAAGTTGAGTTGAACATCTCAAGTTAAATTGCCCAGGAAATCATCAACGACTTGAGCAAGACATTGAATGGCTCGGTGAGGTTAATACATTTAAGTGACCCCAGAATCTATCCGTGAGCATGTGTCATAGAGTAAACCATTTCAATAAGTTTCTGTTAAAGTTCATATATTCAAACAACATACTCGTTTCCATATATATCCAAAGTGCACAGAAATTCTAGCCACTTTGTCTGTTTAATGTATTCAGCAATCATTCGGTGTAGCCCTTTTATCATAACCCCCCTCAGGGCAAGACCCTTAATTCTCAATGCCATCAGTAAATGTCAATTAACATCGCCCCACGACGGTGGATCTTACGTATGTACATGTGCACAGGTCAGTGACCTTGCACAACGTGGCGTAATGTCCCTATGCATAAAACCGGACTCACATAGTCAGTCAGCTGGGAGACCAAGCAGGGAGGCCAGTCAGAGACGAGGCGAGGAAACGGGCCCAGATCATCCACCGAAGCAGACGGACTGTGCGGCTATTCGCGGCATCCGCCAAGGCAGTCGCCTCACCAACGGCTACGTCGACGATGAAGAATCGCCGTCCGTCCATATCGGCTACTCGTTCCCGATGTGCGTTCTGTCACGTGATTTACACCTTATGCACTATTTCTACCATTATTCCCTAACCATAATAAACATGGCTGCTGCTGTCTTCAACTCTACCGCTGACATGTGTCTTCTGTCTCTTGTCCACCATCCTGAACTACCATCCTGAGTCATCCCAACGAACGCTCTTGGACACATGGAATCATGAACCTACTCAACACAATAAGAGGATAAAGCGGTAAATGTGTGTCTTCAAGCTGTCTTCACGGGTCTTTTGCTGACTGAATAACTGATTCTTGCAACCCTAACGCCCGTTTCGGGTGCCTTCACGCTCCACGTAAATATCATTGGAGTTTCAGTATGATCACACACGATCAGTGAAACACTCCTGAAATATGTTACGATCTGTCAGTAATTCATAACTAATCTCCAAGTCTAATCTCATTAAGTAAATACACTCAACGGTACTAAAACTACCCACATAATCTATTTGTTAACTGTTACCTCTAAGTGGATTGATTTCAATGAAAATTATGTAACGTAACAGTTCTCCAAGGCAATGTAGCACGATTTATCGGCCGATACCTTCCTTGAAACAGAAGCACACATGTCCGTACGTAAGTATGGTCCTTAACCACCGTGACATTACAAGCGTGTGCCAGCAGAAAGGACTGGAAAGTAATAGACACGCCGGACCGGTCAAGCCCGGGTCATCACTGTGATGACAGTCAGGAAGATCTACTGGCTGTGAAGGTTTATCTGCGAAGTGGTATCCGACTGACTACAAGAACGGCAACTACCGTTGTTGGTCGACGAGGAGCTATCAGCGCCGACACTATCTGCACATCTTACACGACATCTGTTACGTATTCCCGATTATGACGCCTTGAAATGAACTGTGAGCCTTGAGTCGAAGATATTCGGTATAAAATAACGATTTTTATACATATCTTGATGCTGATGTAAACATCAAGAGGCATGCACTTGCCCCCTTATAGAACCCTAAAAACTCTCCAGGATATTTGTAGTATACTGGATTAATATACGCTGACCTAAATGTTTGTATAACGTCTTCCTCACGACTGCTTTTATATTAGATAGTGTTACATACCGGACAACTAATCTTAAAAGACTAGTTATCTTGACTGGCTTCAACAATGTTTTTATCACAAAGTTGTTAATAGTTAAACGAGTTACAAAACACGTTCGTTTAAGCATTCAACACATGCAAGCAATTAACTGGAAAAGTGCTTTCACCAGGTTCATATCAACATATATCTCAAAATACAGCTAATCTTGACAGCGAGAACCAACTGGACTGTTAATATTTTCCTTTTACGGCCATTCAATATGATACATGTGGCAGTGTAGTGAATGTCTGCTCGGTATAGTTCAACAAACATGCTACGTGTGTCCGGTCTTTGCAAAGGCCGCTTCAGCATGGAAATCAAAGACACACTGCAAAACATGTACATAAATACATATGGAAAAACAGCTATATCCATCAACGATAC